ATAGCATTAAATTAAGATTAGAATTAAAATCAGTTTAATACATGACCTTTAAAACAAATAAAGCATATATTACATTCTTGAAGGCCCTTTGCTCCTGAGCAATCTGCCCTCAGAGTCCTGTTCAAACAAACAACCCTTCACCTGCCTATAAAAGGACAGGGCAGAGAGCTCCGGTCTAATCTCGCCAGGAAAACAGTTTGAGAGCTCAGTCATTGAGAAAGTACTCTCCTGTTTCTCTTCCAGATGTATTTGGAGGATAGTGGAACAGAAGGACCTTTCCAGATCTCAAAACACAAGTAGAGACATGTGGCAGAAGACACTCCTTTAAATAATCTGGTTCTGAGATGTGTGCTGATGCTGCTCTTGTTGTTGTGTGCCTTCAAGTTATTTTCAATTCACAGTTACTCTTAAGGTGAAGTTATCACAGGGTTTTCATGTGGCTGGCATGATTGCATGGAGTGCTATTACCTTCCCACTGGAGTAGTACCTGTGACCTTTCAGTCAGCAAGTTCAGCAGCTCAGAACTTTAACTCACTGCACCACCAGGTGTAATTTTTTATTTCTCTTCTGGTAGAAGACTATTTTAAGTTAAGAACTCAAACTATCCATTTTAATCAATTAAAGCAATAGATGCCCCAACCAGCAAGGTTTCCCAAAATGAGACCCCAAAACATAGAGAGTTGGCACATAAGGGACTTCGAAACTGGACAGCTGGAGTGGAAGCCACAGCAGTGCTTGCTATAAATACAGCACAGAGCCTCAAACTGAATGATTACAAAAATGTGGATTAGCTGCAAAACAAGGTGAATTTTTTTAAAAATATTCTGTGTGAGAGGAGTGGAAACTAAAGAGACATTGAAAAGGAGGCAATGTTTTTCATTTGCATGAACTGTTCACACATGGCCCTAGACTCTAGAAAGCAGTTAAACAGCACTGCAGCCGTACTCTTCCCTGGTATGTATGTTACAATTGCCTTGCAAATCACAAGGTATACTGTAGTGGCCTGTTCCAGATGGCTTGCAAGTACCTGCTGTGTTTTATGAGCCAAGGAAGAAATGTCTGCGGAGTAGTATTGCCAAATTTCAAAGCCTAGCCCTGAATCTTTAATTGTCATAGGCTCAAGGAGGAGAAAGGGGAGCGGATTCTGCAATTTTGATAGCCTCCACTCCAACCAAAAGCAAAGGCTTAGGTGGAAGTCTCCAGCATGCTACAATTTGGAAGTACTAATTGGTTTGAATGTATTGTCGAAGGCTTTCATGGCCGGAATCACTGGGTTGTTGTAGGTTTTTTCGGGCTATATGGCCATGGTCTAGAGGCATTCTCTCCTGACGTTTCGCCTGCATCTATGGCAAGCATCCTCAGAGATGGTGAGGTCTGTTGGAACTAGGAAAAGGGGTTTATATATCTGTGGAATGACCAGGGTGGGACAAAGGACTCTTGTCTGATGGAGCTAGGTGTGAATGTTTCAACTGACCACCTTGATTAGCATATAATGGCCTGACAGTGCCTGGAGCAAACTTTTGTTGAGAGGTGATTAGATGTCCTTGGTTTGGTAATTGGTTTGTAATTGGTTTGCTCCTGTAGTTTGCAAAGACTTTCCAGGTGGTGAGATAGAGTTAGAAGACTACATAATTTAGTAGGCTTGGGCACAGATTCAGAGTGGTCGGCTTGTTCGGCTTGACTGAATGGCCGTAATGGTAAGGGCTCAGCTGTCACATTTTTTTGTCCATTATGGGACCACGTGGCAGCCGATCCCGGTTCCTCATCCCCTATTCGGCACCACGCGGCATGGGGAGGCTGCAGCATGCTGCTTGCACGAGGTTTCCCTGTGAGCCCTGCCTGTTTGGCCAATCAGAACAGAAGAATGCTGTGACGTGCCGCACGTAAGCTGTGTCTAAGGAAAGGGTCCCAGGAAAGATGCTTCTTTAACCCCGTTCTTCAAACCCAGACTCCCTGGAGAGGAAGACAGGAAAGGATCCCAGGAACAGAAAGGAGAGCCCTGTAAATTTTCCATTCCCACCAATGGGCCAGATCTTCGGGCTGCGGACCGGAAACGGCTATTTGGCAACCCACCCATGTTCAGGAGGCGTGCAAAAACGGATCCGCAGTTATCCTGGAATTTGGCAAGCAGAAATGGATTGAGGTTCAGCCAAAATGTACAAGCTTAATACAAAGTTAGCTTCTTCCTTCCCCTTCAGTTGTTGTAGTGCCAGGACCCATCTTTCGCTCCACAACCAGTTTCTGGATGTGAGGGCGATCTGGCTGCGACATCTGTCACCCCATTGATCGCCAGGGTTGATTTGGTTGATCTGGCTAGCTTAGTAGTAGACTTTATGAAAGGTTCCTCAACCTATCTCTTGACCTAGGAACAGATCTTTAATTAATATTTCTGTCTCTATTTCCAAGGCAAAAACATGTTAATAGATTAAACGCTCATGATTCCATTTCCTCACGCAAAAGAGCAGCTGCAGTTGGTACATAATGCACAACGCTTCATGATATAACCTGTCTTTAATTCTCAAGTTTCGGCCCTGAAAATACAGGTATTCCAGTACACTGACCCTTTGTTTCCAGGAAAACAGTAGAATAATTCTAAACTGGCCGCAATCTCATCACCAGGTCTGATCTGGTGGAACACGTTTAAAAAGTAAAACAATCAGCTCTCACAGACTTGTGGATGCTCACATACTTCAGAAGAGTTCTGCCAACAAGGTGACTCCTAATGTTATCAGTATGTTTTTAATAAAATGCATAAAATATGAAATGAGAACAGGTGGCATAATATTTGTGCAAGATTAAAGAAGTCACTGTTCTTTGTCTGTCTATAACAATCTTCTCCATACTGGCATCCTCTAGATGGGTTAGACTACAAGCCCCATTATTCCCAGAATGAATGGCTAATGGTTGGCAATGGGGAGAGGTGTAGTTTAATGCATTTGGAAGGCTCCAGATTGGGAAAGCCTGGCTTACAGGGTACATTTATTACATAAGAGATAACAACCAAGCAATTGGTTTTTATTGTGATGGTCAATCGGCAGCCCTGGTCTTCTTAATGTTGTTGGGAATGAAAATTGGAGAGAACGCTTGTGTCTTTCTAATGCCAAGATTCCTTAAGACAGTTCCTCATGTTGTGGTAATCCTCAACCATAAAATTCTTTCCATTGGTACTTCAGAACTGTAATTTTTCTACTTTTATGAATCGTAATGTGAATATCTGATATGCAGGATGTATTTTCATTTGCCTAGATCAAATTTGGCACAAATACCCAATATACCCAAATTTGAATACTGAATACAAATTTGGGAGTTGGAGTTGCTGGGATTTATAGTTAACTTACAATCAAAGTGCATTCTGAACTCCACCAACAATGGAATTGAACCAAAGTTGGCACACAGAACTCCCATGACCAACAGAAAATACTGGAAGGGTTTGGTGGGCATTGACCTTCTGTTTTGGAGTTGGATCTGGACTAAACTTGGTACAAATCCTCAATATACCCAAATGTGAACACTGGTGGAGTTGGGGAACACAGACCTTGATACATGGGAGTTGTGGTTGCTGGGATTTATAGTACACCTACAATCAAAGAGCATTCCGAACTCCACCAATGACAGAATTGGGCCAAACTTCTCACACAGAACCCCCATGACCAACAGAAAATACTGTGTTTTCTGATGGTTTTTGGTGACCCCTCTTTAACCCCCTCACAACCTCCTCCCCTGGGGTCCTGACCCCCAGGTTGAGAAACACTGCTTTAGTGGACATTCTGAGTATTCCCTGCCAAAGAAAACCCAGTAAAATTCAAAGGTTTCCATAAGTTGACAGGCAACTCAAACAAACAAGAAGAGAGAAAATCAGCAGGTATTGCTTTGATGCAACCAACCAACAATACTTACTGAAATGTTCTATTCTAAACAGTCATTAAAGGCGCATGGACCCTCTTCAATTTTCACTCTGCCAACCATAGTTCATATCCTGGATATCAATATTTTCCCTACAGGGAAGAGTGGCAGTTGGATGCCACAAACATTCAATTGTTTAGATTGTGTCCATTACATTAGCTGAATGTTTTCTTTCCATGGTTTTTCAGTACACTTGGCTCTCCATTTTTACATATTCTGCACCTACAGATTCAACCATTCACAACTAAAAATATTTTAAAAATCCCAAATGCAAACCTTGATTTTGCTGTTTTATATAAAAACACAACTGTATATAATGGGTCTTGAGTATCAATTGATTTTGTTATCTGCAGGGGATACTGAAACCAAACCCCAGTGGATACTAAGGACCCACTGCTCATTCTTATAAGGGTACTATGTTAATGTGTGTGTGTGTTTATATGGATGCATGTGTGTGAATGGATGGATGCTGTTCTCTTGTTTGTCATCCTGGAAGCAATGAAAGAAATTAGGGAAAAATTGGGAGTATTGCTTCACATGACTATTACAGTACTAAGAGCAGAAACTCCTTGTCAGGGCGCTATCAAATATTACATATTCAAAACAGAGGAAATCCCTCTTTTTATAGGTTTGATGCTTCCCACACTTTTAACAGGAGCCTGATTCACTGACATTTAGCAAGTGAGTTTCCACGCCACAATTCTGTGCCAGCCAATTCTCTGCCAATCTGCTGCTAAAGGCACAGCAGAAACCAAAGAAAAGTGAAGATGATAGTATGTAAATAAATATTTCTCTACCAAATATTCAGAACCAGATTTAGCACAAGAGAACTAGCTGGCAGGCAGCCAATTAACTTTAATTCTAGTTCCAGAGAATGTAGGCCAAAGCCGGAGTGGCCGTTACACCATCCAGCCGTTGCCATAGCTTCGCCATTGTTGCTTAGGAACCGGAAGCCTTTCCAGTGCTTAATGGTTGCCTTGTACTGGTTTGCTGGAAGCTGGATGTACACAGCGATGCCTTGTTTTTTTCTTCCTTAATGGAAGGAGCAGCTGAGGCCCTTGCCTCGTCTACAGTAGCCACCCTTTGAATTGGGCAAGATGACCTCTTCCCCTTGGTAAGCAAAAGGAGTCAAGCAGAAAGGCATGTTTATAACCCTCAAACCATTGAGCTGCTGAACTTGCTGACCAAAAGGTTGAGGGTTTGAATTTGGGGACAGGGGTGAGCTCCCGCTGTTAGCCCCCGGCTTCTGCCAACCTAGCAGTTCGAAAACATGCAAATGTTAGTACATCAATAGGTACCACTCCGGCAGGAAGGTAACGGCGTTCCATGCAGTCACGCCTCCACCTTGGAGGCATCTACAGACAATGCCGGTTCTTCGGCTTAGAAATGGAGATGAGCACCCCCCCCCCCCCAGAGTAGGACACAACTAGACTTAATGTCAAGGGGAAACCTTTACCTTTACTAATCAACAGTTCTGACAGTTAATTTAAGTTTTTTATTGTTTGTTTGTTCAGGTATCAATAGATATTGGTTCTATTAGGACAGATGATTCCTGTTCAAATGCTGTATATGGAAGACCAGAATTCAAATTATGGTTCTCCACAATCCTAAACTTAGGTAACTGTAATAGTGACATTTTTGCCTTTTGCTAATTTGATATATATAAACTTTGCTTCATGCACAAAATTGTTTTAAAATACCGTGTAAAAAATTACTTTCAAGCTACGTGTATAAAGTGTATATGAAACAAAAGGAGTTGGGTTCCATATCCAAGATACCATAGCTGTATATGGACAGTACATATAGATATATTTGCATATACAAACACAGTTATTCCAAAAGCCAAAAATGCAGATAAATCTAATATCCAAAATACTTCTGCTCCCAAGCATTTCAGATAAAGGATACTAAAAATATACACAGAGCACAGATTGTTGCTGGCCACAAAGAAGCTCAACAGTAGAAGCAAAATGTCAAGGTTCATTACCATTGTAGAGAGACTAAGCAATAAGGATTAATCCTTAGTTTGTTTGGGCTTTTTTTGTGTCAGGAGTGATTTATTATGGCATCCACTTCATCAAATTCAAGAAATGTTGCCTTTGAAACCATGATGCTGGCAAGTAGAATAGGGTTGCCAGATTAAAAGTGATATAGACGATATAGACGATTACATAGAAGAGAGAATTTCAGCTGGTGTTGTTTATCATGCAAACAGGTAACAAGCAGCGCTTTCTGAAATTCCCTGTGTCCAGTTTTCACTCTGGCAACATTAATAGTACAGCTGTTTTCAGAGGGAACAGGACTGCAGATCGTGATAATTGTCTTAACCACAGCCATTCACAAAATATGTGCTAGATAATAATATAGGTAACTTTGCTGTCTTGAATTCGTTAATGCAAAGGCAAGAATCCACTTGGTGACATTCCAGTATGTGACTTCTCATTAGACAAGAGTATGTTATTTTTTAATGTTGTGGAAGAACGGTACTATTTCCGGATGTCAGTTTTGTTGATTCCATAGTGAGGTGAAAGGGAACTGTACTGGTGATGTCTGGGTGAAGCCAAAGGTTGCAGCACCAGTTCCAATGGTGGTACTTATGGCAATAATGGGAGTCCACTACTGGCAGATAGGTATAAATTGGATCAAACCAGTGGGGTGCATAGTAGCAAGAAGACAACGTTGGGAATAACTAGTTTCTCAGTGCCAAAAGTAATAAACATCCTGAAGCTCAATGTGATGGGATTAATAAGGAGGCTTCTCTGGATCAAGATGGTTGATACTGAGATGGTGATCTGTTTGGGAACAGGACTGAACCAAAGGCTGTCAGGAGGAGAGCCAGAGTCACCACAATGTTCAGTCAAGAGTTGGTCAACTTGAGTCAGATAGCCCAAACTAATCCCTAAAATTGTTTGGTCCTTTGTGTGAGCTGGTTCTTCTAGCACAGTGATTCCCAATCTTTGTTCCTTCAGGTGTTCTAGATTTCAGCTCCCACAATTCCTAACAGCTGTTAAACTGGCTGGGATTTCTGGGAGTTGAAGTCCAAAACACCTGGAGGACCAAAGGTTGGAGACCACTGTTCTAGCAGCACCAAAGGGCTAGATGTAGTCAATTGACATATTCATATTGGAACCAGCAATGAGACTGGCTGAGGCTCATGTGACAATTTTTTGATCTTCTTGGCCTTTTTCCAGAGGAACCATGAGGTCCTCCTTTCCCACTGCCATTATCCCATTAGCATCACATTTTAACTGATAGCTGACTTCAAAAGTGGATGGTTTTCCTGAAAATCAAAATGCAACATTACACAATTTCCTTACATTTATAGCTATCCTGTAGTGTCTGTGGATTTGTCGTATTTTCCACTGAATTTTGACTTCAGAACATTTTTGCAAGCTGCTCTGAGTGCCTTTGCAGTTGAAGAGCGGGGTAAACATTCTCAAATAAATAAATATATGTCGGTATGGTAATTATCAGAAGGAATCAAAAAATCCCTGCCATTATATTAAATGTTTTATTTTTCTCCTCCTTAAGCTTTTCACCAATCATCAGTTCTCATTCACTGACTCGATCTGGGCAGAGTCTATCCTAATACCTTGTAGTTATATGGCATGTAATTCCAGTTCCCAATGATTAAAATGCATCAGGATATGTTTCTGCATGTTCGGTCATGTTTAGAGGATATAATCTCTCCAACTTGTTGGAGCTGTTTTGAACAGAGGCAGGAAAAGAGAACATTCAAAAGACTGCTTTTTAAAGGCAATTCTAATTTTCCCATTCTTTCACTCATGATTGGTGTGTAATTCTTATAATATAACCAAACCTTTGCTTTCTCAATATCCTTTTCTTAAATGAAAAGTGTTAAATAGTTTAACACTGAATAGTTCTTTTTTGTGAGATGTAGACCAACATTTGATTTTGCCTTGTGTTTCCAGGTCAACAATATTTCCCTTTTTAAGAGATCCTATGACCTAGAAGGAGGCTGGTTCTTGTGATGATGATTATAATGATGATGATGATGACAATAATAATAATAATAATAATAATTTATTTATTTATTTATATTCCACCCTTCTCCTGTGAGGTCTCAGAGCAGATTACAGTATAAACAGATACCGGCAAACATTAATGCCTTAATACAATACAACAAGACACACAAAAACAAACAATGGCAAAGGCTTCTCCTTTCATTTCCGGCTTTGGAGACAATGTGCCCATCTCTGGCACTAGGGGAGGTGCTGTTCTCTATTTCCAAACCAAAGAGCCTGCGTTGTCGCCTCCTGGTAATATGACCGGCATGAGTGTCTTATGTCTTTCCTGCTGAAGTGGTATCTATTTATTTACTCACATTTGCATGTTTTCGAACTGCTAGGTTGCGCCACTACATCATAGGAATGGGTGCTTGTGGTGTCACAAGTGGGACAGATGGGGAAGGAAATATTTTGGGCCAGGTGATAGTGAAATCAGGCACAAGGAAAATCTGACTAAAGTCCAGCCAGCTAATATGGCAATTCACAGCCAAGTGGGGAAATATTCATTTTTGGAGGGAACACAAGTGTCAACAATTGCCCTGAATCTGCAGTGGTTCCTGCTGTACTTCAGCATCTTGTGTAGTTTCACATGCACTACAGATAACCACTCACAAGTTTTCCTGGGTCTTATACTTCTCTTGTAGAAAAGTCACCACCACTCCAAAGGAATTTTTTTCTCCAGGCCCTATGCTGAGATACATGCAGCTAGCTAAATGCTAGTGCCTCACTTCTTGCCTTGCTCCAAATGACATGACATATATATTCATTCACTTGCTCTCTTTCCTAGCTCTCAGTCTTCACTCCTGTCCTTTTGATGCACAAAAACTGTGCAAGCAAATACCACCAAATGGAGCCAGTCAGCATCAATATCACCTAGGAGGAGATAGTGTTGGTATTTTTGATTTAGTGATTTAGAATCTGAGATTACTTTGCAAATAATTTAGCTATAATTATGTTTGTGTGTGTGTGTGTGTGGTGGAGAGGGCTATATTTTGGATGGCAATAATTTTTTAAACTGCATTTCAACTTCCTTAAGTCAGTATCTATGTCTATAGTGGAGCTCTGATGTCACAATATGAGACTGGCATTTGCTTGGTTTAACTATATCAGGAAAACAACTAACCTTACGGGGGCTGCAATAGCTATGTAAACTTTTGTGATAGTATTTGTAATTTTTTCCTCAAAGGTGGCAAAGAGGAAGCTGGAGCCTGACTATGTATGGTTTTCAGCTATTTGTTAAATTGTTCATTTATTCTATTTTGTATGGGTAGCTTTAAGTCTAACAGTTTTCTGTGGGCTGGGCTGGACCTTTCTTCCAGCAGGGCCAGTGTTGTGGTGGTATCTTTTGTTTAGTACTAATGATTCATGAAAGTTGGCAGATTTATTTACAGGATGACCAGGTGCATTCACGTGTCACAATAAGTCAGGGGTTTGATTAATCATGTTTTGTTGCTTAAGCCACAAACTGCAAAAAACAGATGACCAAACAAAATGTAACTGGTTTCCCCCATCTGTTTCTCTCACCTCTTATGTTGGCTCCTGTTTCATACTAAACAGCTAGAGAAGGATAAACAAGAGATAAGTCATAGTTGAAATAATGACTCAGAAGAAGCCATGATTTAAGCAGCTAGAGATTATCAAATTGCAACAAGCCCTGGGTTTTGACTATGGTTTATGAAGAATTAAGAAATCATTGCCAGAGATGGGTTTGCATTGCAAGAAGCCATATTTTAATAATCATCTCTAGCTTTCCAAGCCATGTGTTGTTGCGTGCCCTCTGGCAACTCTCAAGGCAAAGCTGTCATAGGATTTTCTTGGCAGAATTTGCTGAGAGTTTGCTTTTGCCATAGGGGCTGCAGTGATGCAGCAGGTTAAACCACTACAGCTGCAGAACTTGCTGACTGGAAGGTCGGCGGTTCAAAACCGCAGGACCGGGTGAGCTCCCATTGCTAGCCCCAGCTTCTGCCAACCTAGCGGTTCGAAAACATGCAAATGTGAATAGGTACCACTTTGGCAAGAAGATAACGAACGGCACTCCATGCAGTCATGCTGGCCACATGACCTTGGAGGTGCCGATGGACAACGCCAGCTCTTTGGCTTAGAAATGGAGATGAGCACCCCCCCCCCCCAAGAGTTGGACATGACTAGTTAATGTCAAGGGGAAACCTTTACCTTTATGAATAATTAAGAAATCATTTCCAGAAGTGCGTTTGCACTGCAAGAAGACATATTTTAATTATCATATCTGGTTTCCCATGCCATGTGTTGTGTGCCTTCAAGTCATTTCTGCCCCCTGGCAACTCTGAAGGCAAATCTATCATAGGATTTTCTTGGCAGAATTTACTGAGAGTTGGCCTTTGTTTTTCTCTGAAGTTGAAATAATGTGGCTTGTTCAAGGTCACCCAGGAGGTTTCTATGGCCAAGCAGGAAGCTGAACCCGGGTTTTCCCGTGTCCTAGTCCAACACAAACTACTGCACCACATTGACTTTAACATTGGTTCCTTTGACAGGTATAAGGAGAGACTGCCTTCTAAATGTTTTCAAGACCGTGTTGTTAAGAAAGAGAGGTTCTCTGATGCCCTCAATGGCAAGCGATGGAGATTTTTGAAAAGCGGCTTAGATGATTTCAGAAATGGCTGCCCCGACCCTTCTGATAATATAACTATTCGTGGTAAAATGGGACTTGTACCAATCATTCTACATTACGACAAAACGGATGATTCTGAAATGATACCATACAAAGTCTCAGAGCCACAGGCCAGAAGTGATGTCGTTTACTCCAAACTCAGTCGAGCTCAGAAAGCAAAGAAAAACTATATAACACAGACAGAACGCTGCCTGGCGCAACATCCACTGGCACTTTATCCTCACTTGGAGGAGAGTGTGCCCCCAGAGGTAAGAACAATCCCCGCTTTGCATTCATAATTGTACACGCTGTAAAATTGGGTTTCCTGATCTTGAATTTTCCCATTCCAGCCTTGGAACACACTGTAGCCCAGCAAAGCAGGGAAGCTATTTTTATCCTTTACAGTTTTGCAAGCTGTAGATGAAGAAGCAAATACGTTTATTTATATCATACGATAATAGCTTGAGACTATTCCATGAGTTTGTATCTTCAGCAGTTTACTTGCAACACTTCAGATGTGAATTATGTAAAGCACCTTAGTTATGCTGATGCAAGTTAGACGTAAGCCCATGTAACTTCTTCCTCTTCACATTTATGATTGTGGTACCATTGCATTATTTTAAATGTGCCGTAAAAGCCAGTCAGCCATCCCAGGTGACCTAATTCTGCAGCACTGAAAGATGATATGATCAGTCCCTTGTATTATAAGGTCTGGAGAACAAGCCCTATGAGGAGCGGCTTAAGGAGTTGGGCATGTTTAGCCTGAAGAAGAGAAGGCTGAGCGGAGATATGATAGCCATGTATAAATATGTAAGCGGAAGCCACAGGGAGGAGGGAGCAAGCTTGTTTTCTGCTTCCTTGGAGACTAGGACGCAGAGCAATGGCTTCAAACTACAAGAGAGGAGATTCCATGAGGAACATGAGGAAGAACTTCCTGACTGTGAGAGCCATTCAGCAGTGGAACTCTCTGCCCCGGAGTGTGGTGGAGGCTCCTTCTTTGGAAGCTTTTAAAAATATGCTGGATGGCCATCTGTCAGGAGTGATTTGAATGCAATATTCCTGCTTCTTGGCAGGGGGTTGGACTGGATGGCCCATGAGGTCTCTTCCAACTCTTTGATTCTATGATTCTATGATATGAGTCTAATGACCATATAATGCAGTTCAATCTGCATTAAAATGGCAGTGCAGATGAAGCCTAAGATACGCCTGCACAATCTGTAGCCTCAGGTGTTTTGGATTTCAGCATCCTGACCAGGCCCGTAGCCAAGATTTCGATTCGGGGTGTGTGTGTGTGTGTGTGAATTTTTTCAGGGGGTTTCAGGGGGGGGGGCTGAGTTTTTTTTGGGGGGGGGGAGCTGAGTCTGAGTGAAAGAGGGTTTAGCCTAGCAAACCTTTTGTATCATTACCCCAATACCCCCATGCATATCTGATATATTGAGTATGGTGATCAGATCATTATATGAATAAACATAACAGTTTAAATAATGCACCAATAAGGCCTTTTCGCGAACCACCATGAGAATTTCGGGGGGGGGGGCTGAAGCCCCTCAAGCCCCCCCCCCCCCCCCGGCTACATGCCTGATCCTGACCATTAGACAAGCTGGCTACGGCTTCTGGGAGTTAGAGTCCCAAACACCTGGAGGGCCACCAGTTGTACAGACCTGATCTAAGAGCTGAGCAAAGCAAATCCTTCACCCAAAGAAGCTGAGCTGAAGTTGACCTTCAGTTCGAATATGGTCACCTGTACTTAAAGTTACAGCTGTATTTAATATAGCACACATAAGGAAGTCTTAAATATGACAGTATTTCAAGCTAATTAGTTGGCTAAGAACTGCTTTCCACTTTATAGTTTAATTAGACTGTAAAGCACAGAGATTAAATGGAAAGGGTTTAGCTTCAGTTAAAGACAACAGCTCTTAAACAACTTTACTGACGCTATGAAACTTTAGGATTTGCAGGATAAGGTGCTCCAGTCTGCTTCCTTCAACCCACTCTCTGCCAAATTTTTACCAAGTCAGCACTTTGGAACAAGGAGTCTTGTTTCCTTTTGTGGAGAAGTGAGACTTTCCTGCTTCTTTGCAGGGAGTTGGACTGGATGGCCCACAAGGTCTTTTCCAACTCTCTGATTCTATGATTAGGTCTCAGAATAGCATGCTGATATTTGAGAAATGCCAGTAGTGTTGTCACTTGCTGATGGGCAAGAGAACATGGGTCAGAATGAATGAAAACCCATTCCTCTGACTGCAAAGAGTTGGGGGATGTCTTGATACACCTTTAGACTCCATAGTATGATGAAGAACAATTATACGTGAAACAGTTACGAGACAAACCTTTCAAAGGCCTGGGAATAGTAGGGAATAGACAGCTATGGTCTACTGATGAGAGCAAGAAGGCAAGGCTTGTTAGATGTGACTCACTCACTCCTACTCAGCCCAGGAAAATCTTAACTAAGCAATTTTGTATGAAAACAATAGAAGCAAGTTAAGTAGAAGGATGGATATGGCAAGGCAATCTGTGCTGAAGAAAACGAACTGCCCTCTGTAGCTGCTATGGCACAGGTTACCATAGATCGGTGTTGGCAAAGAGTGGCACAAGGGTTGTATGAAGCCCACAGGACCTCAGAGTTCCCCAAGAATTTAAAAATCCAGGTCACCTCCTACTGTAAAATAGACTTCCTCTGCATCTAAAATGAATGGTGGTAATGGAGGCAGTGGCAAAAGCCCTCCACATCTGCTAGATTTTTTTTTGTAAGTGTCCAGACCTACTCCACGATGCCCCTTAACCTCTCATAGTTGCCTACCCATTCTAGACTTTCTAATGTGGTGAACTAGTCATTTATTTGAGTGTTCATGCTTTGAACTCTCAACTTACGCTGACTTTGCATGCAAGTGTGAGTAAGAATCACAAATACACCATATACTTCTACTGGTCTCCATCTAAGGCAGTGGTTCCCAACTTCCCCAACCTGTGGTCCGTGGTCTGTTGGCATTACTTGCTGAAGTTAAGCCAATACATATTGAAAAGTTCTTGTCCCTGATGTTTCTAGGGTGGGCCTTGCAAGTGTGAAATTATCCTAAGAGCCTGCATTCTGTTGGTATTGCTTTCAAGTCAAGAAAAGTGTTGTTGTTCATGCTCAGAAGTCCAGTTTGTCTGCTTTCCCATAAAATCTGGTGCAGAATAGCAGTTCAATGTCTTAAATAGAGAGAAGGCCAACAGTGGGTCCCAACCTATGGTCTCTGGACCACCAGCAGTCCCCAAGAACGAAAATATGATCCGCGGCCTCACCATTACTACACAGTTGCCACAAAACCACGCGGCAAGGAGAGCGACTGGTCTCCCGAGGCAATGAGGATGTTGGGAGGGGAGAGTCTGACTACCCATGAAAGATTACTATTACCACATCAGCTCTAGATTATCAAATATGGTTTTATGTGAGTGAGCAGATAGCGACTACTGGATGGCATATGATCTGTATCGGAAACTAGAGCTGATGTGGTCTATCCAATGCAATTTTCTGAATCAGCACCCCAATTAACCAAACTGAATCTAAAGTTGACCAAAAACTGATTTTTAACCCCTTTGGTACTAATATTGGAGGGCGGTCCCTGGTCAAAGTGGTCCCTAGTCAAAAAAAGGTTGGGAACTACTGATCTAAGGACTCCAAATCCTGGGTAAGTGAAGTGTACACACACATAACAATATTTTAAGTAAAATAAACAAGGGAGCAGGGAATGTAGGTCTTGCATGTTATGCAATGTAATGATCAAAATGCGACCAAAATGTTTAAAATCAGATCCATAATTAGATCAAATTCACACAACATAATATGGAAATGTTATAGAGAGGAATAGGTCAAGATTCTTTACATAGAGAGCAGAAATCCTTGCATTACTTCTATATCAAGCAGCACCACTTTTGCAGTTTTTCGTATGTAACATGAGGTTGTTCAGATGTCAAAATGTGTTGGTTTAACGTATCAGGCCATTTACCTTTCTCTCAGCTTTTCCCTGATGTTTTACGGTTCCTGGACCCCGAGATGCACTTGACTAGAGAATCATTCCTTGATAAAAAACCTAAAGAGGATCACCCCACTTCTGTTCAGTATCAGGAAGAACGTGACACAAAACCAGAAACACGCTTCACCCCAACTGTCCCGTGAGTAATGCAGTAGGCAGGCCATGTAATGCCATGGTGACTGCTTCTATAAGACTGAAACATTCATTCTATGAAGCTGCTTGACGTGTGATGAAACATGGAAGTGAATTCTCTTAGGTTAAACAGCTGGTGTGCAATCTGAAAAATCGCATTTCCCTATGTAAGCATTCCTAAGTTTTAAGATGCTCGGGGAAGGGTTTTCTCTCTGTCTGATAATGATCACAACTGGTGAGGCTATGTGACATGGCCTTCTCAGTGGCAGCCCCCAGGCTGTGAGATACTCTGCCATGAAGGGCTCAGCTCTGTCCACTGATAGTGATCACAACTGGTGAGGCTTTGTGACATGGCCTTCTCAGTGGCWGCCCCCAGGCTGTGAGATACTCTGCCATGAAGGSCTCAGTTCTGTCCACTGTCCCTATATCCCAGGATCTAATCCCAGATTATCTGTTTATCCCAAATTATCTGGCAGTGGGGACTCAGGGCCCTTCCACACAGCCATATAACCCAGCCATATAACACAGCCATATAAGGCAGATAAGCCACAATATCTGCTTTGAACTGCATTATCTGAGTCCACACTGCTAGATAATCCAGTTTAATGTGGATTTTATACAGCTGCGTGGAAGGGAGCTCATATATTCAAGTTTAAAGCAGATAATCTGGGATCAGATCCTGGGATAAAGGGAAGCGTAGAAGGGCTTTAAGAGAGCAAGGGGTCCTCCTGACTGGTTTTTAAATGTTGATAGTTCTAACAGAATAGCTTCTCGTGTTTTGTGGGTTCCAAAGGAAAGAAGACATTTGTTCCAACGTGTTTTGCAATTAAAAGGAAATCCACCTAAGTATTGATATAAAACATTGCTACAGAAATATCATGAAAAATAATCTGAAAATTAGGAAAACAGGGATTGCCTTTTTGAGAGGAGTACAGAGTTTTTTCCATTAAGATAGGTCTTTGGCTAGCAACCGATTTCTGTAAGAGGGTGTAATTAATAAAGGAAAGGTTGTAATTTTCTCCTGACGGACATGTTATTAATGCACTTTAAATTAATGCTATTTTTAATAGGATAGGTAATTTAATTACTTTTTATCTGTTTTGATTATAATGACTATTTTAAGTCATCCTTTAACATGGATGAACCATGCTGAGAGAAAGGCAAGATATCAACAAAATATATTAATAATGAATAAACATCAGAGATAGCCTTCCATTTTCAGTGATAGCATTTCTCCTTTGTTTGAGCGCTATGTGACATTTCTATGAAAACTTTTAATTGCAGTCATGCAAGATCTCATCTACACATGGCACAAAAGTGCAGGAAGGAAAAGACCTCCGCAGTTAATAATAATAATAATAATAATAATAATAATAATAATAATAATAAACTTTATTCTTGTATCCCACCACCATCTCCCCATGGAACACCCAGCTGTGCAATGGGTTAGACCATAGTGCCAGCAGGACTGAAGACTGACAGGTCGGAGCTTCAAATATGGGGCGAGTGCAGATGAGCTCCCTCTGTCAGCTTCAGCTCCCCATGCGGGGACATGAGAGAAGCCTCCCACAAGGATGGCAAAACATCAAAAACATCTGGCTGTCCCCTGGGCAACTTCCTGGCAGACAGCCAATTCTCTCACACCAGAAGCAACTTGCAGTTTTTCAGGTCACTCCTGAAATGGGAAAAAAAATCATCTCCTGAAAGGGACTTGGGGCGGCTTACACATGGCACAAGTGCCTAGAAACAAAACATGAAATAAAGCACAATATAAAATACAGTTGGACAAAATATACAGGCATATAAAACAACAACTCAATCAAAACAGAGCTCATAAACCAAATGGTGGTAAGCTCTTGTAAGATGTGGCCAGGCTGTAAACAATAAGACAAGGGAATGGGACAAGTGCAGAGTTGTAAGCATGGAACGAGAACATAAGATAAAGTGCAAGGTTTCATAACTATTGCGTAGAACAAATAGGGACTAGGCATTATCAAAAACTTATTTGAACAACCAGGTCTTCAAGTCTCTATGGAAGGAGGACAGTGTGGGGGCCTCCCTAATCTCCCTGGGGAGAGCATTCCAAAGCCAGAGGGCCACCACCGAGAAGGCCCTTCACTCGTTCCTGCCAACTGCATTTTTGATGGTGGTGGGACCCAGTGGAGGGCCTCCCCAGCAGATCTTAGAGTCTGCGCCAGGTCATTGGGGGGGGGGGGGGCGGTAATGAAGACAGGCTTTGTAGGTGGTAACCTGCACTTTGAATTGGGACCGAAAACTTATCGGCAGCCAATGCAGCTGGTTTAGTAGGGACATCCATACTTAGTAGCCTGGCTGCCAATCTTTGCACCAATTGCAGATTCCAAGCCATCTTCAAAGATAGCCCCACATAGAATGCATTGCAGTACTTCAATCTGGATGTAACTAAGGCCTGGACCACCTTGGCCAAGTCAGTTTTTTCGAGATACGGTCGCAACTGGCGCACAAGCTTTAGCTGTATGAAGGCCCTCATGGCCACTGCTGACACTTGAGCTTCATGTGTCAGTGCTGAGACAAGGAGCAACCTCAGATAGCGGACCTGTGTCCTCAGGGGGAGTGTAACCTGGGAGAACACAGGTAGCCATCCTATACCCCGATCAGCCTCACAACTGATCAGGAGGACCTCTGTTTTGTCTGAATTAAACTTCAGCTTGTTAGCCCTCATCCAGTTGAGCCCTGTTGACAACGGATACCTGTCATTGCATAGTCTCCCATGTTGTTTTTTTAAAATCACTGTGTCCGAATCAACGTATAACCTCAGAAACCAGTACAAGACCTGACTTGTGCTCAGAAGTAGACATACAGCCATTGGGATGTTTGTGTTTTTACTATCATACGATCTGCATGCTCCATATGAGGGTATCTGATGAAGTAGAGTTAAATCTAAGAAAACATATACCACCAACCTCTTTCTTGATTAGTCTCAAGGGTCTACAAGATTACTTCACACCCTCAGTGTGAGTTGGCATTCAGTGTTCTGAATTTTCTAGTTCAACCACAAAGATATGGGAAATAAAGCAAACAAAAAAGTATAGAAGAAGCATGAAAAAATATGTGATGCATCAAACTTGCTGTAGTAACACAGAAATATCATCATTTCTCAGTGTGACACAGATATTTGATTATAGCTGTGTATTTCTCATTGTTTTTAGTGCATGGCTGCCAAAAAAGAAGAACCCTTACACATGGCTTAGTGAAAAAGAGGTTGCTGAGAGAGAAAAAGCAGCCAAAATAGCTTATGTTCCTCCTTTGGATGAGAATGTAAAGCGTGTAACAAAAGAGTTCTGCGACTGGGTCAGAGAAATGGTAAGCCAGGGGATTTGTAATTGCAAACAGCAAGGCAATGAAAACCCCCCATCAAAATCTGTTTTGATATGTACACAAAGGTTGAGCAGATTATTTTCAGAAGTCGTGAACTTACGTGAACTTCAAAGCCTGGATGTTTTGAATTAGTGTTTCTCAAAGTGGTGGTCTCTTTTTCCATAAAAAAAACAAACATTAGAACTATTTTAATGATATGGCAGAACTATGGTATCAGTTCATGACACACTGGAGGAAACATCCCTGTCCACTATGTCAAATGGTTTGAGAAACACTGTATGGCAGGGTTTCTCAACCTGGGGGTTGGGACTCTAGGGGAGTTGCGAGGGGAGTGTCAGAGGGGTCCTCAAAGGCCATCAGTAAACACAGTATTTTGTGTTGGTCATGGAGGTTCTGTGTGGAAAGTTTGGTCCAATTCTATTGTTGGTGGGGCTCTTTAATTGTAGGGGAACTATTTTGTTGTTGATTTGTTCAGTCGCTTCTGACTCTTCATGACCTCACGGACCAGTCCACGCCAGAGCTCCCTGTCAGTCGTCACCACCCCCAGCTGCTTCAAAGTCAAGCCAGTCACTTCAAGGATATCATCCATCCATCTTGCCCTTGAACTATAAACCCCAGCAACTACAACTCCTAAAGGTCAAGGTCTATTTTCCCCAAATTCCACGAGTGTTCACATTTGGCATATTGAGTATTCATATCAAGTTTGGTCCGGATCCATCATTGTTTGAGTCCACAGTGCTCTCTAGTTGTAGGTGAACTACAATTCCAAAACTCAAGGTCAATGCCCACCAAACTCTTCCAGTATTTTCTGTTGGTCATGGGAGTTCTGTGTACCAAGATTGGTTCAAATCCATTGTTGGTGGAGTTCCAGAATGCTCTTTGATTGTAGGTGAACTATAAATGCCAGCAACTACAACTCCCAACTGACAAAATCAATCCCTCCCAACTCTACCAGTATTCAAATTTGGGCATATTGAGTATTTGTGGAAAATTTGGTCCAGTGAATGAACATACATCCTGCATATCAGATATTTACATTACAATTCATAGCAGTAGCAAAATTTCAGTTATGAAGTAGCAACAAAAATTATTTTATGGTTGCGGGGTCACCACAACATGAGGAACTGTAGAAAGGGGTCGCAGCATTAGGAAGGTTGAGAAACACTGCTGTATGGTGTAGTGAGGATAGTTTCATATTTGCATTAAAAGGTTAAGGTGGGTGTCCAACTTTTCAAACCTCTTCTATATAGAATATTTCTACCAGGTGAATTTTTTTTAAAAAAACCAACTCCAGTATTTAGTAACAATTTATGTTCTTTTAATTCATATAGTGAAATGCATGCAGTATTTGACCTTTGTGCCACTTACCCCCAGGTCAGTGACTCACTAGTGATATCTGACATCTTTGTGCAATGTCATGCTTTCATTTAGTTCCCTTTTGGTCACATGAGTGACTTCTGCACTTCTTTTTAAACCAAAATGTAGAGGCACATAAGGAGGAACTTTGACATACTTCCCAAGCTCGTGGAGATAGGTATGTTTAAAGAAAAGGAAAAAAAGAGGACCCGAGAAAGGTTTTTTCAAAATAAGCTTGCTGGTTCAGCATCAATGAAAGCTTAGAGGATGATTCACATTCAGCATGACTAGTTTAATATAGGGAAGTCCCCAAAATAGTAAAAAAGGAAATGCACGTATGCATGTCCCTTCAAACACTACGGCCCACCACCCAAGGAATGCTTTCACCCAGGGAGAATTTCATCCTAGATTTGACGTGTTTCCTCTACCACAGGCACGCATCCCAGGGTTCCTTGTGTGGAATTTGCATGATCCTGCCCACTGCCTCTCCATTAACACTTTCTTACGGCACACAGCAAACACATAGGAATTGATCAGCAACTGAACAGACTGGAGGGGTTTGGGGGACTGACTCAACAGGGTAGAAGTTGTAGCTCACCCTGCATCAAGGTAGAGCACTGTGACCCGGACTGCCCTTGGCATATGGGAGTTGTGGTTCACCCTTTTCCAGAGAGCACTGAACCCAGTTAATGACAGATCTGGACCAAACATGGCCAACTGTGCATACAGGCATGGTTTGGGGAGGATCGACCCACGATTCTGGGAATTGTAGTTCACCCACATCCTTATGCATTTTCTAATGGGAGCATTAGTAAAAAACCAAATCAAAAACTGGCATTTTTCTAATAAATAGTGTTACTAATTGACTAAATGATATTACCTAATATCCCAAAGCAAACAATACCTTTTCCTACTAACCCAGGCACCGCCGGGTACCCAAGCTAGTGCTAAAATAAAAACCAGATATTGTAAGGTAGTGTCATTATGTTACTGTTTTATCCTCTGCTTTAGTTTTTAAATATAACAGTGAGTTTGACTAAATTGGGATCTAATCCTTTTTTTGTCTGCATCCAGAAGAATCCAAGGAAAAGCTTAGTTTGTGGTTAATGGGAGTATATGCCTGTGGTAGATAATAAATTGCTTAGCATCAAAGCTTTGAGCTTTGAGAAGATACAGAAAGTGCAAATACAGTAGACCTTAAAAGACTATTGCTCCTTCCACACACCTATATGAAATTCACATTGAATTGGATTATATGGCAGTGTGGACTTAGATAATCCAGTTCAGAGCAGATATTGTGGGTTATCTGCCTTGATACTCTGGTTAATATGGCAGTGTGGAAGGGATCTAATATCCTGCATCACACCAGTGAATCTTAGTGGTAGGCAAGCTAAATCCAAGGTGAAACCGTTCTTAACATTTACCCCAAAGTACACTGGAGCAGGTAACAACAATCTCCAATTTATTGCTCCTTTCCCAACACACTTATTACCATTTTTCTAGAAATACCAAGTGTGTTTGCAATGACGGAAATAGCTGCTTCCTAAAAGTCTCTGCTTGGTTTAAATTCTAGGGAGGTGAAAATAACATTGATGAAGCCACCATCATGAATCTGTTTGATACAAGGTATGAATCCAAAGCCAAGCCTCTCTTGCCCATGAAAATAGTGGAGCTCTATCATGTGCCAGGAGAACTGAGAGACCGTGAGGGAAAATCCCCAAGCCGGGCAACTATGAAGAGCCTCGCAAAGGTAAGTTGAAGCTGAAATACCACAGAAACTGAGGCAATAATTGAAGGTAAAATGCAGGATTTCATATCACAAGAAATAACCTGCAGTTCTCTTTCATTCTGATGCAACTTATGTGGGAGAACTAATCTGCTGCATTTGTCTGTCCCTTCACCCTTGAGGCCTTTATGAAATCCCAGTTTCTCTGATCTCACATATAGATCAGGACCCAACTAAAGTTATGTTCATTTACTTCAGGTGGAACTCCCGGTGGCACAATGAGTTAAATCCTTCTGCTGGCAAGACTGCTGACCAAAAGGTCGGTGGTTCAAATCTGGGGAGTGGGGTGAGCTCCCTTCTGTCAGCTACAGCTTCTCATGCAGGGACATGAGAGAAGCCTCCCACAGGATGGTAACACATCCAGGCATCCCCTGGCAATATCCTTCCAGACAGCCAATTCTCTCACACCAGAAGCAACTTGCAGTTTCTCAAGTCACTCCTGACATGAAAAAAGTACCAAAAATTCATATTAACGGCAAACTTTGTACTTTCTCTCCTTTACTTTTTTGTCAGCAGAAATTCTGCTGCTGCATGCCTTTGCCTCTCAGCCTACCTGCTTTCCCATTCTTCCACTTGGGCAGGCTCTTAAGGCAGCTTCTGCTTAAGAGAAACAACATTGGAGGGTGATGAGAACAGTTGCATAATCATGTCTGATTTGGGCTTTCCACTTCTAGCCTCACAGAATTTCTCAATAGGATACAATGTTCTTAGATTGCCACTTGCTGGTTACTCTACAGTACTGCATGCATTAAGATCCATTGTCCTTCAGCATCTCTATTTACAAAGTACAAATAGCATCATAAAGGGCTGTGGATGACAGGGGAAAAGGCACACATGATCATTATTACCATTGTTTCTGAGTCTGCCATAAAGAATATTTTGTCCCTTCATTGCTGGGTGTATAAATAAATATGTGACAAGTGTGTGGATTGGTATTTAAAGACAGACAACATACTGCCTCCTCAAAGGCTTTCATGGCCGGAATCAATGGGTTATTGTAAGTTTTTCAGGCTGTATGGTCATGTTCCAGAAGCATTCTCTCCTGATGTTTCACCTGCATCTATGGCAGGCATCCTCAGAGGTTGTGAGGTCTGTTGGAAACTAGGAAAATGGGGTTTATGTCTCTGTGGAATGTCCAGGGTGGAGAAAGAACTCTTGCCTATTGGAGATAGGTGTGAATGGTTCAATTGGCCACCTTGATTAGCATTTAATCACCTAGCAGTTTCAAGGTGTGACTTCTTACTGCCTGGGAGAATACTTTGTTAAGGTGATTAGCTATCCCTGATTGTTTCTTGTCTAGAGTTCCCCTGTTTTTGATTCCCCCAGGCAGTAAGAAGCCATATCTTGAAATGCAGTGATGCAGTTGAAACGTCAGGAGAGAATGCTTCTGGAACATGGCCATACAGTCTGAACAACTTACAACAACCCAACAAACTGCCTGTCTGTATTTTGAACTACAAATGGCATCATTCCGTACCATTGCTGTTTAGTGAATGGGAATTGTGATCCAAAATATGTGGAGAGAATCAGCCTATCTAGCTACCAATGGATGCTGTGCAGTTACCTTTGAAGTGTCTTGATTTAGCAAAGACAACCCTCATTAATCCTCTGTCTTCTCACTTTTTCAGATTCTTTTAAAACGCCCCAGTTTCCCTTTCTTTCTCCCTCTTTGTCCTCAGCTAGTACAATTGTTGCAAAATCTAGAACTAGTTTCCCTTCAATTATCTCAGACCCTTTCCACACAGCTGAATAAAATCCCATAGTATCTGCTTTGAACTGGAATATATGGCAGTGTGGACTCAAGATATCCCAGTTCAAAGCAGATACTGTGGGATTTTCTGCCTTGATATTCTGGGTTATATGGCTACATGGAAGGGCCCTCGGTGAGAGGGAAGGAGGGGCAGAGGCTTAAGCAAAAGTGTGATGTTCTTCATCATTGATAATTTTTGCTATCTTGCCCACTCTCTGTTGCTGCTTGGCCACGTGTGTCCTACTTTTCTTCAGTGAAATATCGGAGGATATGTTATCACACTCCCACAAAACATGCTCTATACAACATGCATCTTTTTGAAATGACTAAAAGCTTGTTTAAAAAAAGATACGAATTGCATATTATTTTTAGAGAACACCTTCAGAACCCAAAGGTGAAAAGTATCAATATGGAGCCTGGTACCTTCATCCCAAGAAATGGAAGAAGAAAAAAGCAACAGAGACGGAGGAAATACCTGATTGTCTTCAGTACTTTCTAGATTTGAGAAAAAAGAACATCTCAACGGTAAGTGAACATTTCCCCAGAATTCTGTGGTTACACGGGTAGCCTATAGCTGGAAGCATCTCATATTCTTGACTAACTGCTTTACTTAACCCAACCTTTGTAGAATTCTTTCATTTTCTGTTTTTTTTAATCTACTCCAAAATCTGATAGAGCAACTTAACTTTGATACCAAACTTATCAGTGAGTCTTTCTCCAGCCACACATTTCTATCCTGGGCCACTAGATTTGAACCTCTGCACAATGTAGAATCATAGAATCAAAGAGTTGGAAGAGATCTCTTGGGTCATCTAGTCCAACCCCCTGCCAATAAGCATGATAATCACATTCAAAGCATCCCCAACAGATGACCATCTAGCCTCTGTTTAAAACCTCCAAAGAAGGAGCCTCCACCACACTCCAGGGCAGAGAGTTCCACTGAACAGCTCTCACAGTCAGGAAGTTCTTCCTAATGTTCAGGTGGAATCTCCCTTCCTTAGTTTGAAGCCATTGTTCCGCGTCCTGGTCTCCAGGGCAGCAGAAAACAAGCTTGCTCCCTCCTGGACGTACTTGATCCAATTTCACTGCATGCTTGATAAGGAGATAAGCAGGGTCAGACCTGGTTTATACTAGAATGTGAGGTCACCAAGGTTCATCAGGGATGTCCATGTAGGCAAAGAAGAATTGCTTCTGAAGCTCTGGAGAGCTAATGTCAGTCAGAGCTGTTGATACTAAGTTTGATGGACCAATGGTCTCACTCAAGACAGCTTCATATGTTCCTAGGAAAGTTCAGTCCTGGAGCTTCAATGATTGTAGCTCAGATTTCCACTTGTGGACATTTCAAGGAAACTGTAGCAAGCACCTCCATGAGATTTCTAAAGTATCATAGAGAGTTCTGCACAGAATAACTCAACTTCATGAATATTTATTTCACACTAACTCCAAAAATGTTCCATACTGGCAGACCGTGCTCACAGGTTCTCCAATAGTTTAGTGCAGATGGAAGGGTTCGTGCTAAGTCATCTTGAGACATTTTGGCTTTCCCTGAGTCATGTCTGGATCTTAAACATATTACCTCAGTGCTGACAACACTAATAACTCAAGTGAATTACTTACAAAAATATTAAATCCAAAAAGAACCAAATTGGAGGGATTCTATACACAGGTCCTGACTGATTCTATACTTTCACAGGATGTAAATAGTACCTTCATGTTCAAAATTTTAATGACATTTCTTGTAGGACCAAGGCGATGAAGTGCCTCTCCATGGAACCTATGCTTTTGAGCAGTTTCTGGAAAAGAAAGGCTACAGGAAGCCAGCGGTGAGTGAACCTCAATGTCTAGAACTGGAGACCAGGCCTGGCCAATCTGTGAACCGCTTAGCCTAATGCAGCCTATCAGTAATGCACCATAGCCTGCAAACTGCTTGGCCACCTCCTGATCTTGCAGACCTATCTGGGCATCAAAAATAGGTTTATTGTGCTTCTGACAAGCCATTTTACAATGCTGGTGAGCAATAACTTGTCCAAGTGTGTGCCATGGTCATCACACTCAACCCTACAGTGCTCCCAAGCTCAAGAACTTGGCTATCAGCTGCACTGGTGTGGCATATTGAGAGATTCATATGGCCTAACTGATCTTGACTTCAACTGAGAGTACCCCAAAAGGCTGCAAGTTAGAGATTAGCAAACTAAACCACTGAATGTGGCCAGACTGTCATTGACCAAGGCAAAAACTACAACTGAAGGTTGCATTGTTTTACCATAAGGCTGTATCTTTTGGGGAAGGGAAATAAGGACATCTCAACCTAGGGAAGCTCTCATATCTGTTGACAAAGGCGCTCACCACAAGAGACTGATGTTTTCAGCTTTCCCAGTTTCACCAGATCTTGAACCCAATACTTTTGTGGATGTTATTTCAAAAAATATGTCATTTACCACTAATGAGAAGTTTGAGAAGCTGCTGTGTGGGCACACATGGGACAAAAGCTTTCTGAAGAGGAAGAACTAGAAACAAAATAGTTTCCAAGAAAATGGACACAATGAAGAATTACATAATGCTATTTTGTGAAGAGAATTGTTACAAAAGGAGCACTTTCTACAAGGTTTTGGTTATATTTACACTGTGGGACATTACTGTGCAACAATGTTATTAAATTAAGCACATTGGAGTTACTGTTTGAATATCAAGCTGGAGAAAGATAATAGTTTGATGTTTAAAAACATGAGAAAGCATCATTATTATTCTCCTCTTATTACAAGTTGAGGCTAAGAGGGAATGACATATTGATGCCTATCCAGTCAATTAATTCATGTCACAGATGAGATTTGAGCTAGACACTTATTTACAAAGCTCTACACCTCCTAGGCTTTTCTAAAGTATTCCTTTTGTTCCATCAAGATTTTGGGCCAAATTGACTTCATTGGTTTTGAAACAATGCACAAACTATCATCTGGCTCCAGCCATATAATCTATGTGATAAATATCAGTATGTTTTGTGCTATACTGTTCTCTTGCCATAATTTTCTTTCTGATAAAGTAGTTATATGTTTCTCAAAAAGATATTCTAGACCTCATCACACTAGAGAAGGAATCCACTTCAAATCCGGTTGCTGCCTCCTGCAGAATTCTGGGGTTTGTAGTTTAGGGAGGAGCCTTTAACAGCCTCCCTAAACTACAAATCCCAGAATTCTGAAGGAGGCAGAAACCAGATTGAAAGTGGGTTCATTCTGTAGTGTGATGAAGTATTAACCTCATCACACTAGAGAATTAATCCACTTTAAATCCAGTTGTTGCCTCCTGCAGAATTCTGGGGTTTGTCGTTTAGGGAGGAGCCTTTAACAGCCTCACTAAACTACAAACCCCAAAATTCTGAAGGAGGCAGAAACCAGATTGAAAGTGGATTCATTCTGTAGTGTGATGAGGTAGGACACAGCCATTGTTTGAAACATAGGAGGTTTACTAGGGAACTCTTCAAAGAGCTGGACTGTGGAAAGAAAGAGTGGGCATGTTTAAATATCAGTGCATCCATGCATTATGTTCATCCAATAGCAGCTTTTCTATTGCAAAGCACTTGCAAAAACTGTAATCTGGATCAAAGAAGGAACAGAAAACAAGAGGGGCTTTGCTATCAGCCCAGTTCTCTTGAAATTCCACACTTCGTTCTGCAGTTTCCAGCCTGTTGTTATTTACAATGTAAATACAAATGTTTTTCATGATTTTACTTTAAATAAAGCAATGGTGAACATACGATCTTCCAGACATCAGTCGTAGCATATTAGCATGCTGCAATGTCTGTGATAGCAGTGAAGAAAATCAGAATTAAAACTCTGAATCGGTTGACATTAGATCACAGGAAAGATGCCTTGAAGAGATTTTTACCTGGGAAATGTTATCCAGTCTTTAGGTGCAATGTTACATTGTGTGTTTTAAATAGTTTGTGATTTGTTGATGCCTTTATGCCTTTTCTATTTTGTTGCTGCATTCTGTTGTAATATTGTTTGCTTTTAGCAGTTTATGTTTAATAGCAATTTTGAACTGGTTAATAGTTGGGGATACTGGAAGCAGTAATCTGCTCAATGGAGGTGGTGGATATTTCCCAATGTAAGCTGTAAGTTGACTACATATATTTTTATGCTACACCCACTATTTCCCCCAAATGTATACACCATAAATGTAAGGCATAAATGAAATACAGTATAATCCCCATTTCCATGGAATTGGTAATCCACATCTGACAAAATATGTCCTCTCGAGGAACTTTTGAGGTCCGAAAGGTCCGAAAGATGATTCTATGCAATGACTCTTTGGTGGAATTATCCATGGACCATAGCATTAAGGCAAAACATTAATCAAATGAGTTATCACACAATCATTTATGAGGAGGCTGCCACAGATTTGTATTGAAAGCAAATTCTAGAGAGGATACCAGAGCAAATCTAGGATAACTTCCAGTGGAAGTCATTCATTTCAATAGGTTTCACTATTATCAGAAGTTTCCTGTTTCAGTGGTAAATTCAAGAACCTACTCCGATTTGGATAAGGGAGTCTTGCTGTAGTTTCATTTGTGTTAAAAGCATTATATTGTATAGTATTTGAATTATATGCTTATGAATTACCGTATTTCTTCAACTGTAAGAAGCTATCAATTATAAGAGGCACTCTAATTTTTGTACACCACCACCATCAACAGTACTTAAGATACACCTGCGATTTTAAGATTAACCTCATTTTGGGAGATAGGCAAAAAGTGTATCTTAGAACTGAAGAAATACAGTAGTTCCATTTATGCCAATATTGTACTGTCTTGTATTTGGGATTCTATTGTAAACATTACCTTGTATTCTGGATTTTGTTGTAAACCACTCATATTGCTCTATATAAATTGGTATGTAAATTTAGCAAATCATATACTAGAAGTAGAGGCAGCCATGGTGAGAATTGGGTGCTTTACTGTGATACTCTAAAATAATTAGCTACGGTAAGTTGATACAAGTTATATTCAGACAAGCTCCCCCCCCCCAAAAAAAAAGTAATAGAAAGTGCAGTGGGCGCTAAAAACTAAATCTGAACCTCTCTTTCTTCACTAATTGAGAAGGCAGCATCTTTTCCAGCTGAAAACCATAATATAGTTAAGCCACTAACATCCCAGCATTCACACACGGAAAAATAATTACTTCAGAATTAATAGGCTGTTAGGAATGTGCCATGTTAAAATAAAAGTGAGTGGGATTCCTTTGAGAGGTGATAACTCACTCAATTCCCAAAACGACAACTTGACAACACTATATGCTTGACTAATTAGGCCAGATTGAGAGGTAAATGCCCATGTATGCCCTATTGGAAGGAACAGTGTTTGTGCATATTTGTGGAGCTTGTTTCCAAAATCCATCTGAAATATTTTAATACTAATTAAAAAACGTGCTGAAGATCTGCATTGTTTTGCTGCAAAATGCAATTTTTCAAACCCTGTACTGAAGTGACTTGATACATTTTGATAGTTTTTATGAATTCATCACACTAGAGAAAGAATCCACTTTAGATATGGTTTCTGCCTCCTGCAGAATTCTGGGGTTTGTAGTTTAGTGAGGCTGTTAAAGGCTCCTCCCTAAACTACAAACCCCAGAATTCTGCAGGAAGCAGCAACCAGATTTAAAATGGATTCATTCTCTAGTGTGATGAGGTCCTTATTGATATCTACATATTCTACTCCAAGCCAACAATGTGCTGCTGCCTGTAAGTTATTTTTCTTTTCTTTTTTGATTCGGTACCTTTTGAAAAGAAACTCCACATTTATGTTTACTTTTTTTTCCTTTAATTGATACCCAGCCTTGTGTGGCTGAAAGGAATAACATTAGAAAGTCACTAACATCCCAACTCAGACAGCATCTAATAAAGATGCGGATTCCATCTGTGCCGGCAATTCCTACTCGATGCAGTGCTAAAACACATAGCTTTCTTATGCAGGTAGATTTGGTGTTTTCATCTAGTGTTTTATACTGAAGGGTTTCTGTATAGCTCTCAAGAGGCAAAGAAGATTCACAGGTGCCTTGCAATAGAAACTAGGGTGCCAAGGGCAGAAGTAAACAGCACCAAGCCTGACGCCAAAAGCTTCCTTCTCAGTCTCCATATTAATGCACGTTTATACAAAATAGGTCAGGACTGATACCAGATCCAAAAGTTTTGCCACTCTGCTAAGGGAAACCCAAGAGCTCATGGCACAGACCACTGCGAATGAGGAAGAAAGGAAGGAAAGCTTACCTTCATCTGAAATCTTGGATATGATGTTCGATGCTAAAATAGGGAATGTCAAAAAAAGTCTTAACCTTCCTCCCGTATCTTCCCGCATGTTCTTTCTGAAATGTTAAATAACAATAATAAACTGTGTTCTAGACTCTTCTTGGATTCATATGCTGTGTGTTCAGATCCCATATTTGTTCTTGGGTTGACGTTACTTATGCCTTTCAAGCACTTGATGCCTTCACTAGAATTGAGTGGATTCTGAGTGGATTCAATATTTTCAATGGCAGACGAGGAGAGTGTAATATTTTCATACCCATCACCCCATAAAGTTCTCTGAAGCTTAGATCCTGGAACTAACCCCCCCCCCCCCACACACACACAATAATAAAGTTTAAGGAAGTGTGCAAATATGGGAGATGGAGCTCCCAGAGGTATAATATTCCAGACAATTTCACCCTATGTCTGGAAGCTCTGTCGAACTGGCTACGTGCTAGCAGACTGAAGGTGAACCCGGCGAAGACTGAGATTCTCTGGCATGGCCGCCCGGCAGGTCTGACTCCTCCATTACCCACCTTCGATGGTGCCGCCCTATCTCCATCGACCACTATTAAGAGCTTAGGTGTCGTCCTGGATTCGCAGCTGACAATGGAAGCTCAGGTCGCTGCTGCCAGCAAACAGGCCTTTTTCCATCTACGACAAGCGAGGCAACTGGCACCCTACCTATCTGACGAGGCTCTGGCAACTGTCATCCATGCCACGGTCACATCTAGGCTGGACTATTGCAATGCTCTGTATGTTGGCCCAATGTCTACGACCCGAAAGCTTCGTATCGTTCAGAATGCACCAGCCAGGTTACTCACAAGAACGCCCATGAAATGCCATATAACACCAGTGCTGCAACATTTACATTGGCTTCCAACTGAGTACCGTGGCCTGTATAAGATGTTAGTTCTGACCTTTAAAACTCTTTATGGCCAGGGTCCATCGTACCTTAGGGACCGCCTCTCCTTCTCCCATCATCAGAGGTCGCAACGACCAGCCCAACGTGATTTACTCCATATACCGGGTCCTAGAGAAGTGCACTTGGAAAGGACCAGACGCAGGGCTTTTTCTATTTCTGCCTCTGCCTTATGGAATTCCTTGCCACCTCTACATGAGAGCCACGCGTGACTTAGGGCCTTTTACTCAAGCACTTAAGACCTGGCTTTTTACTAGAGCATTCGATCCCTGTTAATTTTTAATTTTTGTATTTATGTATTTCATCTTTTACAATTTAGCTGTAAATCGCCTAGAGCATTCTCAGATGGAGGGCGATTAATAAGTAATAAAATGATGATGATGATGATGATGATAGACTAAGCTGAGGAATACATGGGCCTACGGCTCACACGTTGCACAAAATCATAAGTCTTTGGTCTTTTTAAACTCTATGGGGACATTGCTTTAAAAATCAGGCTTATTTTTATGTATTCACTCCTCCAAAAACCCAACCACCACTACAGATCCAATTGCCTCCAAACAACTGGTAAATGTGGTGGTATATCAAGCATTTCAAGCCCTCTAAAAATTCAAAATGAATTTAAAAAAAGAGGGGGGGGGGGATAGCAGCCTCAGTTGATGTTGATGTTTTGTCATTTTTGGCTTGCCTGAATACACCTGTGTGGTCCATCGTGGAAACCTATTCCCATCTCTGCAGTTGTTTAGGACTGTTGGGAGCTGGATTCACAGTGTAGATCTCAAGCTTGCATAAGAACTCAGTGCAGCAATGCAATCTCTCCTTATCTCTGTGCATACTCAGCTCCCATAAGGAGCTGAATATGCAGGGAGTACGTCCTCCATTCCTCACTCTTCGCTTAACATAATTGACATAATTTTCCGCTTTTCAATCTGATCGCCGCTTTGAATCCTACCCATGGGAAAAAGAGGGATAAAAATAAATCTTTATATATAAAATCTCAGCCTGCGTATGTTTGTGCTTGCAAAACTCAAAAAGTTGTCTGTCAATTGACTTGATATTTCGACACAACGTTGCATTCCAGTATGCATATGTTTTTATAGTAAAATGAAACTGAAACAAAATGTTGCATTTGAATACACTAATATATTTAGAGTAAAACTAGCAGTCTGGGAACAGATACTATGATGCCCAAAGCAACCATTCACAGCCTAGTTTTCATTTTACCTCAGCAGCATAAGAAATTAAAACCGAGCACTGAAATTTGGACATAACGTTGCATTCCAATACAAGTGTGTATTTAGAGAAAAACTAGCAGTCCAGGAATACACAAAGTGGAATCGGTGATGCTCAAAGCAACCATTCACAGCCTACTTTCATTTTACCACAGAAGTATAAGAAATGAAAACTGAGCATGAGAAACAATTCGCTACACAGCTTTCCTTTTACCTCAGCAGTAAAAGAAAAAAACCCTATGACTATCAATAAAGCGTAGGGGTAATCTTTGGAAGTGTGCGGTTTGTATTTAGAAAACACTTGCTTCTCTCATGGGGACTTACATGTCGCATGCTCAAGAGTCGGTAAACCCCCAGGTCTTAATTTTTAAGCAAAAAATGGACGAATAAAAAATGTAGTCAATCCATTAGCTTTACAATAAAAATGATTTCTGTAAAAAAAACCTTTATTTTTCTTTCCTATCCTTTTATTCCATACAGACACAGCAACTCAAGGCAGGGTATTGATTAGAATGATGAGTTTTCTTGGTGAATCTATATTCGCAGCAATATTTTTATTACCACTAGCCGTCCCCTGCCATGCGTTGCTGTGGCCCAGTCTGGTGATCTGGAAAATAAAGTAATGTGAAAGTGTTGGTTTCTAATACATGTAATTTCTTTATGCTTGTGGGTAAGCAGTATTTCTTGCTGTTTCTGTCAGTGTTGACGTAGAGATTGCTTGATTTACTTACTCTGGAACAGGCAACATATTATTGTCCTTCTTTAGGGGTCCCTTTCAAATCTAGGATACTATATCTCTCTCTGTGTGTGAATCATATATATCTATCTGTATCTATGGCTGGATGGCTCTTTGTCAGGAGGGCTTTGATTACATTTTCTTGCCCTTGTGAAGGGAGTTAGACTGGATGGCCTTAAGTATTTTCTGTTGGTCATGGAGGTTCTGTGTGGGAAGTTTGTCCCAATTCTGTCACTCATGAGGTTCAGAATGCTTTTTGATTGTAGGTAAACTATAAATCCTAGTAACGACAACTTCCAAATGTCAAGGTGTATTTCCTCCAAACTCCATTTGTGTGCATATTTGGGCATATGGAATATTCGTGCCAAGTTTGGTCCGGATCCATCATTATTTGAGTCCACAGTGCTCTCTGGATGGAGATGAATGACAACTCTCAAACTCAAGGTCAATGCCCACCAAACCCTTCCAGCATTTTCTGTTGGTCATGGGAGTTTTGTGTGCCAGGTTTGGTTCAATTCCATCATTGGCAGAGTTCAGAATGCTCTTTGATTGTAGGATAACTATAAATCCCAGCAACTACAACTCCCAAATGACAAAATTGATATATATTTTTTTGAGTAATGATCACTCGTTGGCCTGATAGGTGTCTTGTGTCCAAATTTGGTGCCAATTCATCCAGTGGTTTTTGAGTTATGTTAATCCCAAAAACGAACATTACATTTTTATTTATATAGATCTCATTCATATTATACCAGACTGAGCCACAGCGAAGTGTGGTCAGGTTTAGCTAGTAAATAATAATAATCTTTATATGCAAAGTGGCTGTCTAAATGTCTACTGAATGATGGGTACTATGATTGTTGTTGTCAGCGGCCTCGGCCTTTGTAAGCTGCATCGAGTCCTTCCGGAGATTTTGCGGGGTATAAATAAAGTTAATAATAATAATAATAATAATAATAATAATAATAATAATAGGTATACCTATATTACATACCGAGAACTGAAATAAGATTGTTATTCTGACATGACCTGTGCATCCCAGATCCTAGAAATTGTGGCTGTCTAGATATTGTTGAACTGTAGTTCCCATCATCCCCAATTATTGGTTAGGGCTGACAGGAGTTCTAGTCCAACAACGCCTGAAGGGCTGATGGTTTTCTAATCCAACAGTAGATTGATTGAACTTTACTTGACTCACTTATATATTGATATTGTGAAAATTGTGAAACCTGCTGCTCTGAGAGCATTACTATGTCTACTTTTACTCCTGCAAGTCCTTTTTTTGGCTATGGCCATGATATCTGATGTACAATAGTTTAAGTGGTCATGATATAGGCACTGCTCATTAAGAAATAAATTGTGACTATTTACCAAAAGTGCAGCTCTCCATTTAACATATATTTCCTTCATGCCATGATATGTAGTAATGTTTTGTATTTATCTGCTTCAGTTTCTTCTGCAGATGTTAGCTGCAAGTAGTCCAAACAAGGTAGAGAGCGGTGAAATGTCTTCAAGAAAGCTATCTCTGTCTGTCTTTGAAGAACTTTACATACGATCTTCCTCAATCTTTAAGGATTTATATTAGTCTAGTAGTGCTTGTTTAATGTTTGTAGAACCAAGCCAAAACATTACTCATAACTGAGATAGCCAAAGCGCTTCCATATCTCCTCGCTTTCCTCCACTGGCAATTGCTCAGACTACCATTGTTTGTTAAGACATATAGAGATGTGAATCAAGATAATAGAAGGATGAGGACATAAGACCCAAATATCATTAATTATTATGGCTAGCATAAACAAGCATTAACTTAGTCTGTAATATTACTGGATTGCAGTAATAGAGGAGTAGAAAGAAGTATTCAGAATGTAATATGCTTTAGGAGAAACCGAAAGCTTTGATTGTAGATATGAATGTAATGTTGTAAACTGCAATGTGAGAAACTATACATCACATGTTTGAATACTGGCTATACCTAATAAAATATTTTTATTTTACCAACTCAGAGCTTGACCAACATGACTTTCTGATTTTGATCTTTAGTGTAAGGTAAAGGTAAAGATTATCCCCTGACATTAAATCCAACCGTGCCCTACTCTGGGGGTTGGTGCTCATCTCCATTTCTAAGCAGAAGAGCGAGCGTTGTCCATTGACACTTCAAATGTCACGTGGCCGGCATGACTGCATGGAGCGCTGTTACCTTCCCGCCGGAGTGGTACCTATTGATCTACTCATATCTGCATGTTTTCTAACTGCTAGGTTGGCAGAAGCTGGGGTTAGGAACAGGAGCTTATGCTGCTCTCAAGATTTGGACCTGCTAACTATTTTAATTATTTGAAGAAGTGGGAATGGGAAAAAACGAGTTCTCTCTTGTGTGTGAATTAACAAAAAAGGTGATGGACTATTAAAAATGGCTAGTAGTCAGAGCACTCCTTCAGTGAGCTCCATAATGATGATGATGATGATGATGATGATGATGAGTTTTGGAGCACAATACTCCTGACCTCACGATTGTGTTAAAAACGAAGTATGGATCGTTGATGTCGCAATCCCAGGTGACAGCAAGATTGAAGAGAAACAACTGGAAAAGCTGACACAATATGAGGATTTAAAGATCGAACTGCAAAGATTCTGGCACAAGCCAGTCAAGGTGGTCCCAGTGGTGATCGGCACACTGGGTGCAGTGCCTAAAGGCCTTGGCCTGCACTTAAACACAATCGGCGCTGACAAAATTACCATCTGCCAGCTGCAGAAGGCCACCTTACTGAGATCTGCACCCATTATTCGCCGATACATCACACAGTCCTAGACACTTGGGAAGTGTCCGACATGTGATCCAATACAACAGCCAGCAGAATGATCTTGTTTGCTGTGGACTCATCTTGTTGTGTCAAATAATAATAATAATAATCTTTTTTATATTTGCCCTATCTCCCCAGAGGGACTCGGGGTAGATTCCAAACATAAAAAGCAAACATTCAATGCCCGAACACAACAATACATCCATAGTAATGAAATTTGGCCATCCAACATATAAAAACAAATTATGATTTAACAACTAAAATTAGATTAAAAACGCAGCCTGTTCTATCAGACATAAGACAAAACCTCAAACATCAAACAGAAGCATCAATTTCCCAGTTCCTTGGGGGGGGGGGGGATTTCACCTTACTAAAATTGTAGGCTGAGTAGAAGCTTTTTATTCCACTGAAGCCAGATGAACTTTCCCAAGCTCTTGTCCATGAAGAGTGCAAAATATTATAGTGAAATTGCCCTGAACTTTTCCTAGAAGCCTCTTCCTCTTCTGTCCATGTAGTCAGAGCATGAATTTGTATTGTCATATTGATATTATTTGATCTGGTGGCAATCCTATACAAAATGCAGCTACACAGGTATTTAAATTTCGCTGGATTATTCCCTAATAGGTGGTTTTGCTCCAGACAAAGTAGCTTGATGACTATAGACGTTATCTTGGAAGTGATCTTGAAGCCAACCACAGCAGGAAAGACAGATTTATCTGCAGGGGTTTCCTGAGAGAGGCTGTGACCTCACTCTCACAACACCAGGCAATTAGTCCTGACAGTTGGTAACAGATGGTCAAGGTGTACTAAATTATTTCTCAAACAAATCAACTGCACAAAGATTAATTTCAGTGTAGCATGGCAAGGTATCATCTTGTATTCTTTACTAATTCCATCAAAATTTTATCAAAATTTTATCAGCAATGGTTAATCATGGCTCATTCGGTTATATTTCATAGTGTCAGGAGAAACCCATGGCCTTTCTTGAATAAGATCAGAAGGTGGTATTAAACTGAGAATGGCAGGAACTCACTGAACATACGCCTTTTGGTTAAAGAATCATAGGACCATAGAGTTGGAAGAACCCTCATGGGCCATCCAGTCCAACCCCCTGCCAAGAAGCAGGAAAATAGCATTCAAAGTACCCCTGACGGTTGGCCATCTAGCCTCTGTTTAAAAGCTTCCAAAGAAGGAGCCTCCACCCCACCCCTGGGCAGAGAGTTCCACTGCTGAACAGCCCTCGCAGTCAGGAACTTCTTCCTAATGTTTAGATGGAATCTCCTTATGCTTTGCTCTCACACAATTTCAGCACACAATCTAAAGTTCTTCTCAACATATCCAATTGAAACACAATAAGTTATGGAAGAATACTCCTTTAAAGGGGCTTGCACAGAAACATTTCTGGGTAGATTGTTCCCCTGAACACGTTTCCTCTCTCTCAACTCAAACAACTGCAGTGCTATCTTTAAAAGTATGACCTGAGAATATCTACTCAAGTGGCTCTCAATCTCTTTTTGCCCAAGGACTATTTTGCCCAAGGACCACTCTCCAACATTTGTACCAAAAGAGTTACGAATCAGTACCAAAAGAGTTACGAATCATGGCCTTTCTTGAATAAGATCAGAAGGTGGTATTAAACGGAGAATGGCAGGAACTCACCTGAACATATGCCTTTTGGATATAGAATCATAGGATCATAGAGTTGGAAGAACCCTCATGGGCCATCCAGTCCAACCCCCTGCCAAGAAGCAGGAAAGTAGCATTCAAAGTACCCCTGACGGTACTTTGAATGCCGTCAGCCGCCCTGAGTCCCTCCCGGGGTGAGAAGGGCAGGGTATAAGTAAATGAAATAAATAAAAAATACTTAATAATCTAGCGCAGCGGACCTTATTTTAGGTCTCACGGCTCACCAGTGGGCCACGGCCCACAGGTTGGGAACCACTGATCTACTCAGAAATAATTTAGTGGGGTTACAGAACAGACTCAGAAATGGGAGTGGGAAGATCAAAAGATAACCTGGCAAAATAACACTACAGTAGAATCTCGCTTATCCAACATAACATTGGATAAGCGAAAATGTTGGATAATCAGGAGGGATTAAGGAAAAGCATATTAAACGTAAAATTACATTATGATTTTACAAATTAAGTACCAAAACATCATTTTTACAACAAATTGATAAATTGCATCAATAGGAGCATAGTGTCTAGATCTAGGGAAGTAATGCTTTGGTTAGACCACACCTGGAATATTGTGTCCAATTCTGGGCACCACAATTCAAGAGAGATATTGATAAGCTGGAATGTGTCCTGAGGAGGGCGACTAAAATGATCAAGGGTCTGGAGAACAAGCCCTATGAAGAGCGACTTAAAGAGCTGGGCATGTTTAGCCTGAAGAAGAGAAGGCTGAGAGGAGATATGATAGCCATGTATACATATGTGAGAGGAAGCCACAGGGAGGAGGGAGCAAGCTTGTTTTCTGCTTCCCTGTAGAGTAGGACGCGGAACAATGGCTTCAAACTACAAGAGAGGAGATTCCATCTGAACATGAGGAAGAACTTCCTGACTGTGAGAGCCGTTCAGCAGTGGAACTCTCTGCCCTGGAGTGTGGTGGAGGCTCCTTCTTTGGAAGCTTTTAAACAGAGGCTGGATGGCCATCTGTCAGGGGTGCTTTGAATGCAATATTCCTACTTCTTGGCAGGGGTTGGACTGGATGGCCCATGAGGTCTCTTCCAACTCTTTGATTTTATGATTCTATGATAAGTAGTTTAATACATGCTACCGTTATGTAGTTATAACTGTATTTACCAATTTAGCACCAAAACATCACAATGTATTGAAACAGCAGTGGAGCTGGGCGAGAGACAGACTGTGTTGGATAATACAGAAAGTTGGATGAGCTGTACCTAGAAGAATCCTCCACCTTGTGCAACTATGGAGCCTAACAAACAACTCTGCATCTGTATGCTTGCCCACAATGCCCTGCCTCATGCACAGGGGAAGAATTGTTCAAAGCTACAGACAATGCGGTCGCTGTCGCCCATTTTTGGTCTAAAATTATTTAGGTGCTTGTGCTCCCTCTATTTTATCAGTTTTTATACTTATTTATGCAATGCTTTTGACACAGATGCATCCATCCTTGGCTTGAAACTATTCAAAATATAAAAAGAAAAAGAAAATCATTATTTTGTCATCTTATATAAAGGACACTATTTTATCATGTCATTATATATAATGGAACTTCAGTAGCTATGTTATGGGCATCAAATCAAAAAGAATAAATACTATAGGGTTGTTGTAGGTTTTTCCAGGCTATATGGCCATGTTCTGGAGGCAATTTTGGCAACATGGCCATATAGCCCGGAAAAACCTACAACAACCCATGGATTCTGGCCATGAAAGCCTTCGACAATACAATAAATACTATAGTTTAACAGCACAGTATTATATATGTTTATTCTGATGCTAGTACTATTTTAATTCTAAACATAAGCTCTAGAGTTTCTCAACCTGGGGGTCGGGACTCCTGAGGGGGTTGTGAGGGGAGTTTCAGAGGGGCCGCCAAAGACCATCAGAAAACACACATTTCTGATGGTCTTTGGAACCCCTTTGGCAAAGAAGGCTAAGGTCTCTCCAACAATCATACTATCTATATTATCTCAATATAGCTTACTCAGAATCATAGAATCATAGAGTCAAAGAGTTGGAAGAGACCTCATGGGCCATCCAGTCCAACCCCCTGCCAAGAAGCAGGAATATTGCATTCAAATCACCCCTGACAGATGGCC